GGATTAAGGAATTTTATGAGAAAAAAAATGAAAATGCCTTTATTGCGGCTGTTTCAATCAGAAAGTCAAAATATCAGTATTACTCAAGACAGAACTCATACAACCTAAAGAAACAAATAATTAAAATGACAGTACATGAAATAGATAGAGTAAAAAATAGTTGCTTTCACATATGCTACTGAATACTCTTTTTTTGTTCACATACACAATAATGTAAATAAAATATAGAATTTTGTAGAGTAGCTTCTCTGTTCTATCGATTAGTGTAAGTTGGTAATGACTTTTATCAATTTTTCATGATTACCTAAATAATAAGCAAAACTAAAACAAAATCCATGAAGCTGAAGATATTGATATTTTGAGCCACCAAATTATTAGAAGATTTTGTCCAAAAAGTTGTAATTGAGTGCGAGAGAATAGAGTACCAATACTAGATATGAGCAAGATGATCTCACTCATCATCACATGAATTTCAAGGAGGAAAAGTAAGACCATATCTAATTTTAAAAAATGTAAAATATATGCACTCTTTAAGGCGCCACCTCTGAAGGCCTATCATTCTGGATAATCACTATAGGCCCCGTACGTCTTTTCGGAAAAATAAGTGTATTTTGAATGTTAATGAGTGAGTCTTTGACTCCTTTTAGCTTCATCTTATTTGAGATTCGATCTTTTCCAATGCAGATTTAAACTATTCCGAATTTACCTGATGATGAATGGATTTAGCCCCATTCGAAACGATCGTCGTAAGTAGCTTGGAATCATCTTATATACACACCCACGCCCACCCATACCCACACACCCACATCCACCGATACCCACACCCATTCGGTTTTGGATCACATTAAACTGGTACTAAGGCCACTTGATAAGTTTGACTTAGAAACATCTGAAATAATCCTAAATTAGGTTATCGTGGTAACTTATACACACCCACACCCACACCCTAGATCGAACCGAAACACAATGCCCTCTGTGTACATTTACTTCTTACGTTGCAAATATCTCTCGCACTTGACCACACCTGATTGATCACGATATAGTTAGAGAGAAAAGCCTGTGTTCGTGTGTGGGTGTGGATGGGGGGTAACAATGATTGTTTCTCTTGTTCCACACTAACGCTCACGCGCTCATTCACATCCACATCCCGTTTAAATACGCAATATCGTTCACACTATAAATTCAGTTGAGTCATAACTTCAGTGATCACAATTGGCGAATACCCCCAAGAAATTCCCCGATTGACGAAAACCGTGATCCCAAAAATTTTTTTACTGGCGAATTCATACTAGCTTTTCGCCAATTAGCGAACACCGTAATCGTAAAAAATTGTTTATTGGCGAATTTCGTGAGGGCGTTCGCCATTGGCGAACATACTGTTGGCGAAATTACAGAGACTCCACCCGCACCCCATCCCACACTATTCTCGATTCAGCAGTGTAGTATAGTGCTTGTTATTGATTATTAAAATAAAAGGGATTATAGTGAGCAAGTTAAAATCAAATTCTGTCTGTGTTACGTGGGAAGAGAAAGAGTAAAAACAATATCTATCAATAATGGAAAAGGCCTTCAAGCGTTGGGTGCCAGCAAATGACGGATGATGGGATCTTTTGTGCATCTAAAAGAAGAACATGATTAGTTGACGTTTGAGTTCATTCTCATACACATACCCAACTATGAACTCGTGCTTGTTCAGTTTTTTATCTCCACTGACATCTAGCTTACTGATGATTTCTGAAGCACGTTTTTCAGGATCACGATCTCCTTTTCGATCGGTTTCGCCCAGTAAGTCATACTAAAATTTAGCATATTTTGCTTCATGAAAAACAAGAACGGAAATAGAAATATTGAAATCGTACCATAGCCGAAATCATAATAGCCAATTCTTTTTGATCGATGTGTCCGTCATCCGAGGTATCGCATCTGAATGACAGAAAAAAACATGCACAAGGTTACTCGACCGAACTCACATATCGAACACCACTTCGAGTCGATTATTCAAATCCCCGTGACACGTAGCAGCAACAGCAAGGAGAAATTCATTGAAGTCAATCACTCCATCGTGATTAGCATCGAACAAGGAAAATGCAAGCCTTAAGTGAGAGAGAAAGGCAAGATGAAATAGAAAAAAAATCTGTTGACTTACTGGCAGAAAGCATCTGCCTTGCCACCTGAGTAGAATATTTTATACATATCAACAAATTGTGTTTTGTTAAGTTTGCCCGTTGGGCAGTCACGAAGAAAGTTCTAGAAACAAAACTAAGTTCACAAATACAAGTGTATATATACAATTAATTACGGCGTGCCATTTTCGAATTTCTAAAAAAATACAAATGGAACAGCTAAATCGCATCAATCGGATGTGTTTTCCTACCCGTTTCGCTATAGGCGGTACTAGTTTTGAGCATTGCAATTTCTAAAATAAAAAATCCTCATGAAAATATTAATGAAAGAGAGAATGAACCAACGTTTAGCCGTGAGCTGCTTCGGTGGTCCTTCCGTGAAGCCTGTATTGCCCATAATCGTTACTAGTGGAAAGATGAAGAAAGTGAAAAATCTGAAAGATAAATCATGCAAAGAAGCAATAAATACTTTAGCAAATAAATGCGGAAACCTCGAATTTAAATCCGAGAGTTATGTGTACTTCAAAAAGTGAATGAGACAGATGAGTCATCCGAGAATATGTGGACACCAAAATTATCCTGGGAAACCTTTTCTATAAAACACTTGATTTCTATTGACTACTGCTCAAACAATAGGATTTGGGGATGAATACAGCGCAGATTTGAACTCTTCCCCTTGATTTACCGTAAGAAAGTCATTTTTCCTATAACTTGATTTCTATTGGTTACTGCTCGACCAATAGGATTTCGAGGCAAATGGAGTACAGATTCAAGTTCTCTGCTCCAGAAAACCTCGAAGTATCCTCTCCGTGATCGGAACATAGAACTCTAATTGTGGATCGATTGGAGCGTGGACAAAAGCAGAACCAATTTCCGTTGAATTATCTTTGCAATAGGTGAGTTAGCCTTCTTGTTTCTTTATATTTTATATACCATTTTGTAGCTCGTGAAATTCTCTATCGAATGGTATATAATAGTTGGGATTTTTATTTGACTATGATAGGAAAAGCCTTTTACGAAGGCGGGGATAGGTCGATCTTCATATAGGGAATAATGACTATTTTTTCAATAACTCAGCAATGGCTCGACCAATCATTCTCATCTTCGAACTCGACCGACATATTTTTGAGACTAAACTCTGTAGAAAATTTCATCGCGATCAGACTCTCCTTTCAAAAGTTATCGTGTAAACGGACGGACACATTGACCGATTCTAGAGTGTACTCACTTTTTGAATACACAAAAAGAGATAAGTAACAGTCTGGTAACACAAATTCATTTGTAAAAAGTGTGATAAATGAAAAAAAAGGAAGTTGAGATCCAGTACAGTGAGTGAAACATCTCACCATGGTTTTCTCGTTCTAACAATATGAAACTCATGGATGGTGACATACAAAAAAGAAAGTGGTCAACATTTCGGTTGATAAATACCGAATAATGGGCATCTCTGAATACAAAGTGGTCGTGATATTTTCGTTCATATATTGATGAATCTTTATGACTGAGACTTGAAAATTTTTCTAAAGAATTCTTCATCAAAAAATTGATCATGGAAGCAAACTTCATCATAGCATTTTCTAAATAACGACTTGTTAACTCTTGATTTCCAAAATGAGCCGACTTCTACTAGTGTTCTCGTTAAACTGTAAAAAAAACTGTCAGTTGCTTCTGGACATGAAGTTGTTGTAGTTCAAGGTTTATTTGGAATGTAAAGAAAAGCTAAAAACTCTTGGCTTCTATACATCATACTCAAAATGACTGAAAGGATCCTGCCGGATTTGGTGATTTAGTTGGAACAAGAACGTCCTATATATGGTTTTGTAGAGAATTTTGAGGCGCATCAAATAGTATATAGGAAGTTAAATTTTCATTGAGTTTTCATGTCA